GGGGGGCCTGCCGCGATGGCAGCTGGCGCTGGCAGTCGGGGCGCCCTTCTGCTGGGCGCGGGTGCCATGTACCTATGGAGCCGGCAGCGGCGGCGCCGGGAGACCGGAGGCCGGGGCGACGCCGGCGGCCTGAAACGCAACAGTGAACGGAAGACTCCGGAGGGCAGGGCCAGTCCGGCCCCGGGCAGCGGACACCCCGAAGGCCCCGGTGCTCACCTGGAAATGGTGAGAAGCAGGGCTGGGCCTTGGAGGTGAAACCAGGCGATGCAGCCTTTCTTTGACGGGTTGTGCCGGTCAGGGGGCTTCCGGTCAGACGGAAGCTGCCTAGCGGCAACACATGGGTTTAGGGAAACTCATTTCTGGCTGCCTTTATGGGAAATGGAGGAGCCTGAGGGCATAGGTTAGCGGCATTCGTTGACAGTTTCCTTTTGGTTTCAGAAAAATAACTGCTTTTCTTCTCGGTGACACAGCATTTATCCCTAGCGTTGTGGGTACGGGGGACATCGGCAAATGTGATGATTGTGTTTAATTAAAGCCAGATTCCCTTAACGATAGGTACGTTGTGATATGAATTACGTGGGTGATTTCCAAGGCCTAGAACTTAATCAGTGATAACCCTCTAATAACGAGCCACTCCCCCTTTTTGAAGTGTTTTAGGGTGGGGGATAGGTACAGTGACTATTGGTTGACGAAGAGTAAAATGGTGTGCGGTGTCATTTATTTCATCTGTAGGAGTGAGTTCTTAAACTTTTGGGGTAGAAGCATCTTAAGTTCATTTAAAAATTTTTTTTACCTGGAAATTTACATGACCAAGCCTGACATGCATGAAACAGATTCTCTGATGTTAAGCCAAGCATTTGAGTATCTGGTGAACTGCTTTGTATGGCTTTGTTGAAGTGACTGTTAAGTCCTTTTGGTATCTGACAGCTGTGGGGGCAGTTTGCTTGGCTGCATTTAACAATACTGGGATGAGATGAGGTGGGGAGGAGGATTTTATCTGAGTCTGGCATTGTACAGTGGCAGTTACAGAGCAGAGGTAACCTTTGGTCAAATAATAACTCCCAGTTACATACATTTGCAAGTTATTTTCACATTTTACTGTTCAGATTGAAGACATGTTTTTACTTAAGTAGTCAAACTAACTTTAAAGGAACTTTGATGTGAGAGGTAACTTTCTTAGTTTAGTGCATACTGTATATATCAGGCATTGTGCTAGGCACTGAGAGGGCCAGATGAGCTTTCTAATGGGAGAGGAAAATACTGCTTACAAGAAAAAATAAAGATTCAGTATGAGTATGCTGAAAGAACCCATGGACTGTGAGAACTAGGAGATGTGTGCTTTATATTGGGCCCTCCAGCATAGTTGGAAAAGTCATTTTATCTCTCTGATATTAGTGTCATATCTATAGAATAAGAGAGTTAAAATATTAGATCTCTAACATTTCTTCCAGCCCTAAAAGTTGGTAATTAATGAGTGCTGTTAATGAGAATGATAATCAAGGCAATTCTTGGAATTAGTCATCATTTGTCTTATCATTTTCATATTTCTGAAATTCTCTGGTCATTTCCCATTTCATTTGTTAATTTAATTTTCACAGAAGAATAGTAGGTGAATGAGAAATACATAAAAGTTCTCCATTCTATAATAATCACCAAAAATAAAGATAAATTCTGTAAATAACACTAGGTACTACCGCGTTCACTTGTTTGACATTTGATAGAAGTCAGCAAATTATCTTTCAGATTTTAGATTTCCTGAAATCCCATTATCAGTTTTTTAGCGTTGTCTAGGTCAACACTGATGATTTTTAAATTTCATGGTGTTTTGTTTTATCAGAACACTTTTTTTATTCACCTGACTGCTGTTAAAAATTAGACTTTACGATTGACTTCTCTGTATAACCTGAACTTCTTTAAAATGGTTTCTTTTGATCCAGAATAAAACTGAGGAAAACATTTGACATACTGTTCTTCTTGTGGAATTTGTGGGGTTGTACCTGTAATCTTGTTTTGAATTACTAGATGATACTTTAGTAAAGCAGCAGTGAGACTGTCTTTGCCATTTTTTTAACGGAAAATTTGTATTTTAACTCATGGTAACTAGTGAATTCTGAAAGACAATTTTTTTGGTCTCTTTTATAGTCTAATCCATAGAGTTATTATTAGGCTGTCTAAATATAACTTACCACAAACTGTAATTTATTATTATCTGTGGTTGTAGAAATTGCTTTATATTTGAATAGCACCTTAAAATTGTCAACCTCAGTGGGTTTTATAAATAAGGAAGCATTTGTTTGAACTGATGGAAAACCTGGGAGAATCCTGATGCCCTCACTGTTCTTACTCCACCTGAGCAATAGCTGTAATTTTTAAGGGAATGAAGGAATGGATGAGTATTATCAGTTCAGGGTCCACTATCAGTGAATAAAATGGAAAATCGGTGGTTATTGTCTGTTGGCTTATGTTTGCCTTAATATAAAATGAACCAATAAAATTACTGGGCATCTATCCATTGAGTTTGAGATTTTCATGTGCAGGCAGACTATATCCAATTATCTTTTTTCTGGAATAGCAAAAACTTGTAAAGTAAAAGCAAAAATTCATATTTTTGTTTCATTAATGGGAATTTTAGGATTTCACTAAAGAAAGATGTCTAATTACAGTTGATAGCATCTGAGATTGAGATATTTAAAATATCAAGTTATACTCCATTTGTGGTCATTATAAAATCTATCATGATGTGCCATTTTGGGTGTCTTTTTTTTTGAAAACTTGAAGATTACAGGTTTTCAAAGTTGATAAGTTTCTTTGTCAATCGGGCTTCTCAATCTCTGGGCCAGAGTTATCACAAAGGATCACCACATACACACCAAGCATGGTATCTGGCTGCACAAATGTCTTAGGTATTTCTTTTTTTAAACAAACAGTGATAATTTTTATACACATTTATTTATTATTGACTTTATAGTAGTGTTTTATCCAATTGTTTTTAATTTGATGATTTAAAAAACCAGTTGTTCGAGTGTTTTTAATGTTACACAGGCAGTATCCTAACATGAAATGGTTGGGAACCACTAATCTAAGACAGTGCTCTAGACTAGGAAGGGAGAAATGTACCTAAACATTTTAATAAAAGGATCAAAGACTGAGTAACCTGTTATCAATATGAAATGAAGTAATTCTCTCCCCAAATGATCTGTTTCTAGTCATTTTTGAAAACTCAGTGTCACTAGTGACATTCTGATATAATTATGTCCAGTGAGCACCTTTCAGTCTTTATCTTACTTGATCCTTATCGATATTTCACATTGTCTTCTCTTAATTTCATGATTTTTCCTTTGGCTTCTGAGACACTGCTTTCTCCTGATTTTCTTTGCTTTTTTTTTTAAACTTCCTGATATCTCCCTTGCTGATTCTTCTCAGTCTCCTTTCCAGGTTCCTTTTGGCAACCTTCATGTTTCTGTCATAGGCATTCTTATGTTCCATACCTTCACTGGATGCTTGCTTGACCTCCAGCTTCACTTAAGATGTATATATTGATGGCCCCCTAATTTCTTGTTTATAGTCCAGACCTCTCAAAGGCCCAAATTTAAAGGAAATCTTTACCTCATTACCTTACAAGTATTTCACACCAGTCTTCTGTTTTTCTTGAGAATACTCCTTATCAGTTAGTGTGAGTCATCTAACTAGTTTCCCAAGCCAGAAACTTGGATATCATCCCTTACTTTTTATTGTCATGTTCTCCATATCCAACCTAGAAAAACATCCAAAAAATTCTGCTTCTTAAATATTTGACTACTATTCCGTTCCCACTGCTATTTATTTCCTGACTGAATAACTGGCACTCTTGTTATTGTCTTCCTCCAATCCATTTAGTCACTACTAGAGTAAATCCAGAGTCCCACGCTTCAAATCATTAACTGGTGTTCATTGCTCACATGATAAAGTTCAAACTCATCATGTTTTAAGACCCTCCGTGATCTTGATCTTGCTCACCTCTTCAACTTCATCTCTTGCCACTTCCTCTCGTTTCTTGCCTTTGGATGTTCTGAAACACTGCCCAGTACCCCGCCTTCTCATCCTTCAAGTCACAACATATAGGTCATTTCACGTTTTCTGAAACCCTTTACCCAAGCTTACTGCTATTTGATTCCATAACTCTGAACTTTTCTATTCCGTAGCAGTTATTGCATGGTACTAGAGTTGTTTATTCTTGTCATTTCCTTCTAAACTTGAATTTGTGAAGACTGGGACTGACAGGTCCATTTCTCAGAACCTGACACGTAGCAGGTGTTGAATGAATGAACCAATGAAGCTTCGTTCTTTGACATTGTTTAAAGATTCCCACAATTTGAATATTTTCTTAAAAATTTCCAGCTTTTCATGTGTATTTACCAGTTTATCCCAGAAATTGGTAAGACAGTCTTACACCTCAATTAGGCATTCTTTTTATAAATCACTTGATTTTTGTATGAACTACAACCATAATCCTACAGAAACAGCATTTTTACAAGTAGGTTCTCTTTAGGTAAAGAGTGCTCTGTATCGTGATTTAGTAGGTGGAGTTGGTTTTAGATTTTTTAAATTCCAGGACATAATATGGGAAAGAATCTTTTTTTTACCCTAGATTTGATTCATATGAAAGTAACAATAGAGAATTGAAAGTAGAGTATTGAAAGATAGTTTCTCATGTGGTAAATGTTCCAGAGTTGGTTGCTACTTCTGTAAAACTGGGATTCAAAATTTAAAATATGCTTTTGGAATTTGGTAAACTTAAGGGAATAAAATGAAGAGAAACATTATGGAACCACTTCATGTATATTTTAACTGGATATAAATATGTGATTATGTTAGTAATACAGTAGTTCCCTCTTATCCACTGTTACACTTTGTGCAGTTTCAGTTACCCACAGTCAACCATGGCCTGAAAAAATTAAATGGAAAATTCCACAAAAAATTAATAAATTTTAAGTTATACACTGTTTTGAGTAGCAAGATGATATCTCACACAGTCCTCCCTCCTGCCCTGGATGTGAATCATCCCTTTGTCCAGTGTATCCCATCCATTAGTCACTTGGTAGCTCTCAGATCAACTGTTGCACTAGTAACCCTTATTTTACTTAATTTACTTAATATTGTTATAATTGTTCTATTTTATTATTACTGTCACTTTTAATCTCTTATTGTGCTTAATTTATAAATTAAACTCTATCTTTGGTATGTAT